TATCGGTTTATTAGTTTTTCGCATAAAAATTAAACAAAATGCGGAATTTTGCCGGAAAAACCAATGTATCTTCGTCGACTACCTGTCGAAATGCAATCGGCCAGGTAAATGGTGGTCGGTATACGCTCGAGCTAAGACGGATTTAAAATTGCAAGTTCAATTACTTATTTTTTTTAGAAATGAAATAAAAGTTGTTTGGAAGTATATTAAATTTATGAATTAATCATATTTTATCAAAAAATATTTATAAAGAAAAAAAGTCAATATAAGAAATGAAATTTTCTTATTAAAGATTTTGCTAGTATAGGTAACGGTTGAAAAATTTGCTTAGTGTTGTTATTGAATAATAAAAGAATTTTTTATTTATTAAGAATCAAATATTAAGTAAATTGTTCGATATGATTACCTTGAACTTCTAGGCAGTGGTACCATCTTTGTAGTGTTTCCTCTCTCACACGGCTTAACATGTGATCAATATTTTGGCAGACGTCAATAATTTTTTGTTTTAAATCCTCAATACTACCCAACGGAATTTCATATACCTTGGATTTTAAATAACCCCATAAAAAGAAATCTAAAGGTGTCAGATCTGGTGATCTTGTTGTCCATTAAAATTTTTATCAAGATAATTTCGTACCATTGGCGCATAATGTGGAGGTGCTCCGTCTTGATGAAACACTAGTTCCATTTCAAAATCGTCAGAATTCTGTTGTACAATTTGCAAAAGTCTTGAAAAAAAAACATTTACTTTCTAATGAAATTGAGTGATAACGTCACGATATTCATGTGGATTAACATCACGCCGATGCAATTTTCCACCCAAAAAGAAAGTACATTCATCACTGAAACAAATATGTTTCAAGTATAATCGATTTCGTTCAACCATATTTGTCATTAGCTCACAAAATTCTGTTCTTCTATATCAGGGTCATCTTCTGTTAATTCATGAAGCATTTTTATTTAAAATGGATGATATTTATTCTTCTTTAAGTATTTCCACGTCTTCCAACAACGACGCGGAAATATTTAACACATCACACGTTGATGCGATAGCAGCAGACGACATCATGGGCACATTAAATACTTCTGTTAATATCTGACGACCAGTTCTTTTGCGGTCTTCGACGCTTCCAGTTTCCAAAAACTTATTCACAAGCTCTCTTAAATATTTTCGACTAATTGGATGTTCAGGAAATCGTTCCTTAAATTGTCGCCCTGTTTCATGTAGATTTCTGTCAGCACGAGCGAATATTAAAATTGCTTCGATATTGTGCTCTAAACTCCTTCTAGCCATTTTGATCTCGCCTTTCTTTGGTTATACTTGGTCGGGTAGAATTCAAAGATAGAAATGAAGGAAAATATTTGCATGCTGCCTTAAATACAAAATTTCAAAGTACCTACAAACTTTAAAATTGTTGTTATGACAATTTTTTCTTAGAAGTTTTAAAAAGAACTTTCTTTTTATCCTTTTCTTGTATTGATTGTTTCATAAAAACATTCTAAAAGAATTGCTGATTTTAACCCTGCTTAATCCGAGAGTAGACCGACCTTTAACTGACCGTCCACCATTTATCTGGCCCATTGTATCTCGACAGGTAGTCAACGAAGACACGTTGGTTTTTCCGGCGAAATTCCGCATTTTGTTTAATTTTTATGTCAAAAACTAATAAACCGATATTTGATTGTGAGGTATCGTTGAATTCGTGTTGTTTTATTCTTTCGAAAGATACCATAATATACTGGGTGTTCCATTTAAAAAAACAAAGCTGTTCCATTTTCTGGAAAAACTAAAAGTGATACCAAAATTTTCCATAAGAATATACTTCTGCTGATAAAATATAGAAACTGACGTTTTTTTGTTCATATTGATATCTCAATCTGTTCAGAAGATAAACAGGGGGGGGGTTACTTTACGCTAGCACTGTATATATGAAATGATAATTCCAACTTTGGAAGACATTTGACATTACACAGTCATGTTTTTGATGTCAACAAAAATGTTTCACTTCTCCACAACCAGAATAAAGGTTAAAATTAAACCTCTTCGAAACCTATGAAATAGACAAATTTAAAAATACAAACAATGATTTACATTGTCTTAATGATCAAGTTCAGTGTTCCCAAACACCTCTATACACTTTCCTTTCTAACCCCTTTTACCCAAAGTAAAGAGGACTTATGTATTTAGCCGCACACATATTTCGCATGCTTTGGGGTCCCGCGGCTACTTCTCTCTCCTTCTTTTTCCATAATTCCTTATACCCAATTCCAATGTTTAATAACATATAAATTTAAATTTATAAAAAAAAAAGAAAAATTTTAAAACAGTTTCACTCATTTTTCAATTTTCAAATTAAATATCAGANTGCCCCTGGTAATTAACTCAACCAGATGCTTACTCTTTGCGGACGATCTGAAGATATTCACAACTGTACACGACTTAACTGACTGCCGGTCCTTACAGTCTGATTTAGATAACGTATTTAATTGGTGTCGGCTCAACAAGCTCCATTTTAATGTGTCTAAATGTGAGTCAATGACGTATACATTGAGGAAGAGGCCGATAGAATTTGTATATAAAATAAATAATGAATTTGAGGTGTGTTGTTAAAAAGAAAGACTTGGGTGTGTTGTTTTCGCCTGGTTTATGCTTTGCTGAACATATTAAAGCCACAGCAACCACAGCTTTGCGTCTCTTAGGATTTGTCATTAGAAATGGGTACAGTTTCTCAAACTTACAGACGCTGCAATTACTGTTCAATTCTTTAGTGCGATCTAAGCTGGAATATGCGGTAATAATTTCTATATTCCTCGGTTTTCAACTGAACTGAGACGAAATTCTCCTCTTATTAGAATCCTTTCACTGTACAACACACTGTCGGCTTCTTCCTTCATACCTCTGTTTGGCATTGGTATTGGATCGTTTAAACAACATTTGACACCTTTGATAAGTGCTGCAGCCACCCAGTAGCCAAACTTGATTTTTGTCATTGAATTCTGTAATTTGTGATGTAATTCTATTCATTTTTTAAAGTTTTGGTTCAATATATCCTCCGCGCGTTCTGTGATGGGTTAATTAACATTTATGCTTGATCTTGGTTCTTTTGTTATTTTTGTTGGTTATATTATGTACTAGTAGACTTAAGTTCTGAAATTTGTAATTAGGGGCAACCCTGTAATTTCGGAAGTAAAATAAATAAATAAATAATAAAAAACAGGCTACAACACGAGTAATAGGGATAACTATATTGTGCTATTAGAGGAGAATGAGGAGGATTCAGTTTGCATCAGTTTAACACAACCGTGAAGAGATTTAACATAATGATATTAGCAGAAAAAACCAAATCAGTAAAAATTGTAAAGGCACCAATTAAGTTCAGATTAAAAATCGACAATTAAATTTTAGAACAATTGATAATCATTAAATATCTAAGAAATAAATTAGCAGACAAAATAAAGAACAAACAACAAAGGACAGCAGAATAACAAGGTGTATAAATAATACTATTTGGAAGTACATAAGAACAGATACGAAATATGGTATATACAAATGTGCGATACACTTATGACTTATGTACATTGCCGAGACCAGATTAAATGCAAGCAAAACTCGGAAATGTTTGGAAACGAGTAAAATGAAAACATTAAGAAAAATAGCGAGGAGAACGCTTTGGGATAGAGAAGCAAGTGAAAACATAATACGAATACATGAGGTAGTTTTAGTAAATAAAATATTTTGTTAAGGTGGGGTTATAAATAGAAAACAGGAGCGCAACGATCAAATAAACAGAATGTCTGGACAATGAAAAGTTAAAGGTTCCTATAGATAAATCACCGACTGGAAGAAGGAGTATTGGATGCCCAAGAAAAACAGGCAAAACTGCCAAATTTTTCACCTTGTTTTTCATCTCCAGAATAATATCATTTAGAGAAATTCCATAAAAGTTTAAAAGTCTTTTAAAACTTAAAAAAGATCACGTTTGGTCTTTTACTCATTAGATTAGTTTAGAATAATTTTGTTTCCACATCTTTTAAGTATTTCGAACATTTTTTTACCGATTTTTTACGAATGATTCAAGCGTTATTTGAATTTATAGCTTGGCAGCACTGCTTGTAATCAGCAAATTTATTGGACAACCTCTCTTGTTGGACTGTATCCAAACTTTTTGATTGATGTTGGCGCCGATATTATTACTTCGTTCTTATCAGAACTTTAAACAACTTCCGATATTTCCGGACATCGTTTTAATTTTTTTTACACTATATTTTCAATCAATAACGACGTATTGTACAACTTTACATAAATATTGTTTCATATAGGTATATAAAGTTACTAAAACTCTTACTTTTACGAAACCATTTAATTTTAATCGAGCTTGATTTTAATCCTGTATAAACACCCAAAAAATTATAATTATTATTTTTTTGTACACAAACCAAAAGTTAGTTAAGTACTTGAGTTTGTTCATTTTGGTTTTAATTATAAATCTTGAAATAAAGCTGCTTTATAAACAAGTCGATGAAAGCCTGACAAACTGTTGCTCAAACACATTAAAGGTCTAATGGAAACACATTTTCAAGTTATTAAACTTGACAAGTCGCTTAATTAAAACGGTTTTCATGAAAGTTCTAATTATCGGTGGTTTTCGTTTGATAAGTTGTTTAACGATGCTAAAAAGTTGTTTGTTTTTTTTTACATATGATTTTCTCCTACACTCTTCCAATTAAAATCGGGAATCTAATTAAAAAGTTCGCACTCGAAAATAAAAGCAACCACAGAAAAAATAGAATTTTTAAAGGTTTTTGCTTAGTTTTTTAACTAAGCGTTTAATTAGTTAGGTTAGTATCAACGATTTGTTAGTGAATATTAATTTAAATTTCAATTCTAACGTATCTATTAGGTTTATTAGCAATGATCGATTGGCAATTTGGTTGACAGATTAATAGTAATGATGCTTGTCAGCTATACATGACGATGATGGATACATGTTTCTACGCACCATATAGAACGTCCGCCATAATCTTGTCATAAATTAATTATTGTTTAAAAGCACAACCTTGCATGTACCACTTACAACTCAAACTAAACACTATATTAAGACGACGAGATAAAAAACACTGTGTCGTGACTATTTTCATCCGTTTTGGCAATCGATAGTCGGCATATTGCACGTGGTGCCTTTTCACTATAGCTTACTTACTCTTATGGGTTATAATTTTAGCAAGTTAATGATTTCGCAACGTATCAACCAAACACGTGAGAGTATTCAACGATATTTTTGTTTATTGTATCATCCGGATTAATACCAAAAACAAATTTGAAAAACAATTTTCACCACCTGTTAGGATATTGTAAATTTGAAACAGAAAGGTGACATTAATATAAATTTTCGAGGGAACAAAAAGGGTGTCTAGTCAAAGCCTAACACGCTTGGGCAGTATATCACTTTTGGGGAGGAACATTAAACCCATTCATAATTAAATTTTGTATCAGGCAGATGGGGGTTAATGTATTCAAGGGACACAGTGCACCGAGGAAGAATGGAAACTACGATCTAAACGGTGGCCAGGAGGGAGAAGAGAGATCGTAAAGCAGCTCGTAAAGCAGCCACTGGAATTATGAGTTTAGCCGGAAAATTTCGGAGGAATTTTCCCAATTATTCCGACAGATCCTTTATCCATATTTACACAATTAGATTTACATTCACTAATTAAAAGTGTTGTAAAAAGCGTTGTGGCTTGGGAAAAACATTTTTTTGAGAAATTTAAGTCGTCATATAATATACAGGTACAGTACATTGTAGAAGGATGGGAAAGTGTAGTCCACTTAGAAATCAGCGACATTATTTGAAGCTCAAGTTGTACATATTAATTAAAAACAGAAGAAATGATAAAATGAGTTTTAATTGCATTCTGCAAAAGAAGAAATGGCACTTAAAAACTAAATTTCGTTATTTATTGACGCGTTATAAGAGACACTCTAGGAAGTGGAATAAGACATTCTCGATATCACCTTATCGACTCTTACTACTAATACGCCTTCTTAAATATTTATTGAAATGTTTCCTGTATCTCCACGCGGCGATGTAAAAGCGATGTCAATAATAATACTTTATTGGTGATAGCATCAATAAGTGATTTTCACAAGTCATAAAAGAAAATAATACAATAAACATAAAATGCAATTTACAATAATGGTAAGTACACTAAAAGTAGTAATAAGTAACAATAGGTAAGTAAAAGAACAAAAAAAGAAGAAAAAGGCTTCTGGGAGGCGACACACCGGTCATAGCAAGTCATCAAAATCATTGGTCAAAAACTCCTGAACTAAATAATTTTTTATTTTGTGTTTGAAATTGTTACTCTCTAGCAATCTTATGTGTATCGGAAGGAAATTGTAGAATTTTATGCCAAAATAATTGACGCCATCCCTGGCTCTTGCCGTTCGAGAATACTCCGTACTTAAGGTATCACCCGCCCTAGTGTAGTAATTATGATAAGTATTAAGAGTTTTAAATTTGGAGATATTACCCTTGATATACATAACTGGGTACACAGTTAAGAGTTGTACCGCCTGATAATCGACGTCTGCAATCTCAAAATTGATTGAAAATCATTGAAAGATTGACTAAATCAAACGGCAAGGGGCAAACAGCAGGTTATGTTCGGAATGGCAGAAGTGGGGTACACACGAGTAACCGGGAAATTTTAAATTATAAATCTCAGGAGCCCTCAACCAATGTTCACTCAAGCATAACACCTCAAAATTATTGCTCATTAAGTAAGATTCGAATTCGTTAATTTTTTTACGAGACCCTGCATATTATAATGTAAAAGTCTAAACGTGTGTCGCCCCCCCGAAGTCAGATTAAGACAATTGTCAAGAAGAACTCGCAGATTTACAATTTACGGTTATTAGATTATCATGATTTATAGCAATGATGCTGTCCAACATTCCCTTTATATGTTCAGATGCTTATCAGGTTATCACCTGTGGCATGATAATCCTTTTAGTTCACTTAGCCTGTTGTGTAAGACTTATTCTAACAGTTGATGATATTGAGGGATTTCATATTTTCTTCCACCTAGTCCATATATCTAGTTCACCCTCTTCTCTGATCACCGCCTGTTTAGTAATTCTCTTCTTGTTTTATTCGACCTTCATTCTCCCCATATGACATATCCAATGCAAACGGCTGATTTTTATAAGTTTAACGATGTCTGGATCTCCGTACGCAGTATATAATTCAAAGTGTCGCAATTGGCCATGTTCCATCACACCACCAAGTATGTGCTTTCGCCGTTTTTTGGACATTAAGTTTCGAATCCATACAATAGAACCGGTCATATTAACATATTTTTGCATCTCTGGTCAAAGTGATAGATCTTAATTGGGTCATCAGACCGAAGTAACTTTTATTTCCTGGAAGAACTTTTTTTAATCATAATGTATACAATCATGTATACAAATTGCTCTACAATTTCGATATTATGTTCTCCTATCGCCAAACATTGTACGGTTTTGTTAATAATTGTGACTCTCGTGTTGATGCTCGCATCCCATATGACTTTCTCGAGTACCATGTTAAAGATTATGCATACTGCAGATAGTGCTGGCTCAACCCTTTACTTATTCTGAATCTTGGTGTTGTTCCATTTTGTATTCTTAATGCACCTTCCACCCTCTATGTTTGTTCTATTAGCAGAATTACACTGAAGGTATATTAAACTCCTACATGGCCATCATTAAAAACTTCCAGAAGATGCTGTCATAGGCACTATCAAAATCTATAAACAAAATTACGGGTTTCGATGTTAAATTCTCTTGCTTTTTCAAGAATTTAACGTATTACAAATAATTGACCTCTGCCTGCAGAACCCACATTGGTAGTCATGATTTTTTTCTTTATAGAGCTTTAGGGTCAGTTCAACAGTTGCAAAATAAATTCGGGATAAGTATTTCTCGGTATAACTTGAAAAGTCAATTCTCGTCAGTTTAAAAGTCGATATATCGAGAACCATCCGATGAAAAAAATTGCGCCAAGGTTTGTTGTAATCACTGATCATTTCTACGTAAATAAGAGAGTGGAGATATTGGTTGTACAACGTTAAGAAGTAAGTTTAATTATTGCGAAATCAACCAAAAAAGGGAAGGAATTAAAAACCTTCTTTAATTGAACAACAGCTAAACAAAAATGACTTGCATTTAGAGGTATGAACGTAAGAAATACATTGATGGTAAAACAAACTTGAAGTCGGGGGACCGCTTTAGTTGAACACCATGTATCAACGGGTAACAGGTTTGACTTCGATCAGACCAAAGTTCTATGTAGGGAAATCTTATACAATAGGAGACTTTTCATGTTTCACATTTCTTCCTTCCCCAACACTGTCAATTTTCGAACTGACACCCAGGGTCTCAGCGACATATACTGTCGTCTCATTGAATTAACTAACAAACCCTTTGTTGATTCGCTCATATCCCTCCAAGGACTTAATATGCTTCTAATCTTGACTCTTTGGTTTCCTTTTCATTTGATGTATTTTAAACCAACGTCTTATTTTTTGCGTCGGTCTTCAGCCGTTGTTATTTTAATCATTTTTTCAAATTTATGACTTTAAGGTTATAAAAGTTAATTGTAAGATGCGTTTTGTAAGTCTCTGGTTTCGTGGCTTTCCTCCTCTTCCTGTTCTCCTCCATCTTAATTCCTTGTGGTAGTGTTTCCATGTTTGAATTTGAATTTTAGAACGTCATCTTTCTTTCGTTGTCTGTCTTTAACCTTGGTGACTTTTAACGTCCTAATATTTTCTCCACAGAAACAGTTCTCGTCCTATATTCGATTGTTTCGCGCCAATTATTGACAGTTGATTCGTTTGTCTTTTCACGTTTTGGTAATTGTTAAGACTAGTGTCATAAAGATGTACGACAAGTTTCATAAGTATTGCATGACAAGCAACTCGTGTGTGTACTAGCTGTAAAAGATCTGTAGAGTTAATAGTTAATAAAGATATATTTATAATTGTGCGACTCATTATTATAACATGGCGCAGTCAAGGAAGAACTAATTTCCAGTTAGAAGATAGGAAATATATAAAAAATTAAAAAATAACCGAACAAAATTAAAAAGTGCAAAGTGAGGTTAGGAAAAATGGAAAGTGTGGGAAGACTACCCGACTCGAAGAAATTTGAAAACTTCAAAAGATTTCTCCAAAAGCTGGAAATGTATTTAATAGCATCCGAAAGAGACATGAAACAATGAAGGATGATACTTTAAAGGAAGTGGTCAGAAGTTATTACCATGGTTGGAATAAAACTTATAATGGAGAAATGAAAGTATATTTTCAAATACAAAGTGACATAGACGTGCATAATGGAATGGTTTTTGTGGGAGATAGAGTGGTCGTACCTAAATCATTAAGACAGGAAATGTTAAAAATTTTACATGAAGGACATTTTGGTATAAACAGAACGACTGCGACAGCTCGTCAAGTCTTATTTTGGCCTGGTATGGCTAGTGACATTAAACAAATGATCGAACGTTGCGCAGTTTGTGAGAAATACAGATACGCAAACATGCGAGAAACTCTTATACCACACGAAATCCCAAACTTGCCTTTTCAAAAGATTGGATCTGACATACTTCAGTATGGTAATAAGTCATTTTTAGTTATGGTTGATTATCTGATTATCTCTGTGGTTAGAAATTATACCTCTCAAGTCAAAATAGAGTTCCAAGATCGAATGGTTTGGCAGAACGCTTTGTTCAGACAGCTAAAAACATACTTCGTAAACCTAAAGATCTAGATGCTGCGTTGATGGAATATTGAAATATAGCAATTACAGGGTTAATGAGATCTCCGGCTGAACTTTTGTTTTCTCGAAAGATTAAAACGAAGTTACCCATAGTAGAAAAAATAAATGAGGAAATCAAGAGCTTTAGAAATGATTTAAGTAAGAAAGAAGAAATAATGAAAAAATACTATGGACAAACCCATTAAAAGACTTAAATGTGGGAGAAAGGATAGTTTATAAAAAGAACAAGGAGTGGCAGCCAGCCGTAGTTATAGGTAAACATGAAAGT